GTTAAAGAATCTTTTGAGTTAACATTCCCCTTCAGGCGGTTGACAAGTGCAAAATTGCTTTAAGTTTATTCACGGCTCTAAGGACATGAAGAGTCAATTTCAGCACTAACTGATATGACGCCATCAAGCAATATATTAATAAAGGATAAATCTATATGTACATACTTATTGTACAAAATGGATTACATAGGCTTATGTGGAAAAAATCCGGCCATGGATGTGAAGCGTGGAAAAGTCAAAAATTGTAGACTACCGATGGATGTGCGCTACATGTCAATTATGTAATGCATTATATAAATAATTATATATTTGTAGCATGGTCCACTAATGAATCACCAACTATATATATAACATTTACACATTGGGCAAATTATCTTCCATTAACTAGCGCTTCTGCAAAGTGTTCTCTCTTTTGGTCCATTCTTCTTTTATTTTTCAAGTCTGGTTTTAAGACAGGAAATTGGGTCCTCGAGTAACCTCCACGAGTGTCTCGGAAAACACTAAAAAGATTGATCAGTGATAAGTGAGCGCGCTTGCAATAATAGCCTTGGAAATGGCACACGATGATTCTAATTATCATGGAAATTTTGAGGTAAAATTCATCAGAAAAACTGTTGTTAAAGCTGCAGGTTCATTGCCCGAGACTCATATTATCACCCTCTCAAATCTTGACCTTTTGTCAGGCCGATTTCCTGTCACATATATCTACTTTTATAGCAAACCACACAATATTCACTTAACCATTGAGGCCCTTAAGTCCTCCCTTGCTCGATGTCTCACACTATACTATCCGTTTTCTGGTCGAATCGTGCAAAACCCACAATCTAATGAGCCTGAGATCATCTGTGACAATAGTGGTGCACTTGTCTTAGAAGCACAGACAAACATCTCTCTGAAGGAGTTCAACTTCTATAATATCGATGAGTACCTTAAGGGAAAACTCGTCTCTATCGATCACAATTTTGCTGTACAAGTTCAAATCACGCGATATGCGTGTAGAAGCATGGCAATTACATTCACATTTGACCATGCTCTAGGTGATGCAACTGCCTTCAGTAAGTTTCTTGTTACATGGTGTGAAATTGCTAATGGGAAACTGATTTCTTGCTCACCGAACCATAGTCGAGAACTTTGTGCCCGGATCCCACCCAGTTATGATCCATCGTTAGCCGACACGTTTGCCTCCTGCACCCTAGACGATATACTCACAATTCCAACCATTAGTATATTGCTCAAACGCCTTTATTATATACCTAAATCAAGCATTGATATGATGCAAAAACTTGCATGCATTACTGGTGCCAAAAGAACGAAAATCGAGTCCTTTTCAGCCTATGTATGGAAGATTATGGTGAATGCAATTGATAAAAAACACAAGAATTGCAAGATGGGCTGGTTAGTTGATGGAAGAACTAGAATAATATCAAATGATCATGAGAATTCAATGTCAAATTACATAGGAAATGTCTTGTCTGTTACTTTCGGAGAGTCCAATGTGAATCATTTGAAACAAGGGCCTATTGCAGATATAGCAAGTGTGGTTCACAAAGCAATATCTAAGGTAACAAATGAAGAACATTTCAGGGACTTGATTGATTGGATTGAGTGCCATAGGCCAGGACTAATGCTGGCCAAGAGTGTCTTGGGACTCGACGTTCCGACCCTCGTCATATCGTCCGGGAGAAGGTTTCCGGTGGCGGAACTGGACTTCGGATTTGGAAGTCCGGTGCTTGGGACTGTATGCTCTACCATAGAGAGGCTTGGAGTTGGGTACATGAACCAAAGGGAAAGTGCTAGAGGAGATGGTTCTTGGACAGTGTCAGCAATATTATGGCCGGAGATGGTTGCGGAACTAGAATCAGATCCTAATAACGTGTTTCGGCCTATGAATTCGAGCCTTCTTCAACTTTAATGCACAATTGTAGCATATTACAAACATATTGTGGGCATTAAGTATTGTAACAATGTATAACTTGCTATTATGAAATATTCCGTTCAAGAATTTCTTACTTCAAAAGTAGAAACCTTAGAACTTGTTTGGGAGAGATTTTTGGGGGAAGAATTGATTTTGAATAGTGATATGATGGGAAATGTGTAGATGAAAAACAAAAACAAATTATTGATATAATGGAAAATCTTATTTTATTGAAAAATGTATGATTGAAAATGAGAATTGATTTACTGTAGAAAAATTTAATCCCTCCCAAATAGGGCCTTAATGCCAAAACATGTTTTCCACTCATCATGGCCTCGATGAGTGTAAGATCAAGCCCTTGTTGCCTGAGGCAGAGCTAGAAGATAAGATTTGTGGGGACAAGATGTTGAATTTTCGAATTTAGTGTGGAGGAAGATGACCCCACTGCTCCCACCGTAAATCCAACCCTGCTCGCGGCCAAGTGTTGGTATAAAAGGCGCGTAATTTGGATGAATTTGTTGATCCCAAAACTATGACTCGTGGCCCCAAGTCTTTGTACCTTGTAGCCATGAACCTGAGGTGTTTGTACCTTATATTCGGGTAATCGTCCTCAAGTTTGCAAAAGGCCTCATATTATAATAAGGGATGCCCTTTCTCCTTTACTAGTCTTCCTGCTGCACCAAGGACCAAACTAGCTATTCCACCCATTTCCTCAAGATAAACAAATCTGTTATTGGTCGTTATATTTTCACCGCGACATTTTATAAATGTAACATATTTTAATTACATTAAATTTCATTATTCATATTATGTTTGTGAGGTTGAAACACCAAGCTANCCGCGGGCAGGAGAACTTTTTCGTTACAAACATATTGTGGGCATTAATTATTGTAACAATGTATAACTTGCTATTATGAAATATTCTGTTCAAGAATTTCTTACTTCAAAAGTAGAAACCTTAGATCTTGTTTTGGAGAGATTTTTGGGGGAAGAATTGATTTTGAATAGTAATATGATGGGAAATGTATGGTTGAAAAACAAGAAAAAATTATTGATATGATGGAAAATATTATTTTATTGAAAAATGTGTGGCTGAAAATGAGAATTGATTTACTGTAGAAAAATCTAATCCCTTCGAAACAGGACCTTAATGCCAAAACATGTTTTCCACTCATCATGGCGTCGATTAGTGTAAGATCAAGCCCTTGTTGCCTGAGGCAGAGCTAGAAGATAAGATTTGTGGGGACAAGATGTTGAATTTTCGAATATATTGTGGAGGAAGGTGACCCCACTGCTCCCACCGTAAATCCAACCCTGCTTGCGGCCCAAGTGTTGGTATAAAAGGCGCGTAATATGGATGAATTTGTTGATCCCAAAACTATGACTCGTGGCCCCAAGTCTTTGTACCTTGTCGCCATGAACCTGAGGTGTTTGTACCTTATATTCGGGTAATCGTCCTCAAGTTTGCAAAAGGCCACATGCCCACACATATTAAGGGATGCCCTTTATCCTTTACTAGTCTTCCTGCTGCACCAAGGACCAAACTAGCTATTCCACCCATTTCCTCAAGATAAACAAATCTGTTATCGGTGGTTATATTTGCACCGCGACATTTTATAAATGTAATAATTACATTAAATTTCATTATTCATTATTATGTTTATGTTCTTAATTATTAAATCTTGTTCTTAATCAAAGGTTTCGTCCAACAATACTATTAACATGCTTTAAAACAAGAAAAAAATATTTAGTCTAATTTTTTTAATTTTAATTTTTTTGCTTACTTAACATACCAGTGCTAAATAACTCTTAATACTCTTATCATAATGAAATTTTTAGACATCAGGGACAATTTGTGTTAATTGGAGAATGAAAGTATGATGAAAAAATTGGGGATATATATGTGAAAACAAATAGAGAATATGAACCTTTTATACAATTATATATTGCTTTGCATATAGGTTGGATGAGTATCGTGATAAACGAATCCCTTCTAATTACAATTTAGATTGTGAATTGCAGAGATACAGATTGAGTGGACCATATCAAAGTCCATAACTCGATTATAGGTTCAATTAATCATGCAATATTTTGATTGAAATGGCTAAGGATCGTCCCATCTCCCTTCCTTTATGGAACTTTGACCCAATATTAAAGAGTACCATTTCATCTTTTCTTGAATCTCCTTTATAGAAGCTTGAATGGGAATACTAAAACTTAGTTTAGTCACTAATTCTCTGTGCAACTAGCTCTCTCTCCTGTGATTCTTCTTTAATTAAAGCATAGCGGTCTGCAAATTTAATTAAATTAAGGGTAAATTGCAAGTTTCATTCCTAACCTTTATAGAAAGTTGCAATTGCTGTTTCGTCTCTACCTTTGATTTTTGGTTGTAGACATTCCTAAAATTTTGAAACTTGGCAGTTCGATCCAGAGGATTAAATAGCTCGACCTATCGGGGGATGAGTTGGGAGCTAGGGCAGCCATCACACGAGATTTCGTCCCATTGATATATTCCCTCAAGTTTTGTTTGCTATCTTATTCATGTGACCTGCACGTGCATTCTAAGTCAAGGTTAAAATGGAAAATACACTAAACATTCAAAAATAAATGCAATTTTATACTAAAAATGAAAAATTTATAAAAGTGCATGTTTGACAACCATTTTGATAGAAAAAAGTTTTGAATAGTGATTTTTAGGAGAATATGTGGTTAAAAAGTAGGGAAAAGATTTTAGTGTACGTGTATAATATTTTATTGTGTAAATGTATGATTGAAAATGACCCTATAGCAAACCATAAAATAAATTAACAGAGTGTCAAACATGCACAAATGTTAACAGAGAAAATAGATAGTTTCTATCAATGGGGATAATCTTCAAATATGGGAGTATGCTGCTAAAAAACAAAAGTTAGGACAAAACCTGCAACTTTTGGGAACGGTAGGGGATAGAACCTGCAATTTACCCTTAAATTAAAGAATTGTAACTAGTAATGTGTGGCGATCGAATTTCGCCTAATCAGAGTGGGGCCCAGGTAAAGAAATTATGACATGACTAAGCGACAAATTCATGAGTTAGCCGTTGAGACTCACTGCACTGCACTACACAACAAAACGGTTCAATCACCACGATTTCACACTCCGCGCACTGAAGTTCTGTCAATCTCTCTCTACAATGGCGGATTTTCTAACGGACAGTGATGATGAGAAGAAAGTCGATGAGCTTCTGTCTCAGGCAATGGACCTTACTGTGCTTGAGCAAGTTGCTGCCATTAATTGTTCTGGTTTCAATGATTCTGATCTTCCATCTCACCTTGAAACCCGTTTTCAAAAGCTCAAATCTTTCCCAGTAGAGAAATCGAAGTCCCATTTTTTGTCAACCAAAACCTTCAATTCTTCAAAAACCACAGAATTCAAGAACAGGGATCTGATAAATGAAGCCAAAAAGGTTAACCCTAGTGAAGAAATTAGAGGATATTTTTCAGAGGAAAAATCAGAGGAGAAAATGGGTTCAAAATCAACTGAAAATGGGTTGAAGAGAAACCCAGATGGTAAAAATTGCGTATCGCCGACAACATCGTTTGAGAATGAGAGTTTTCCTCCTTTGAAGAAAAACCCACACGGGAAAATGGGAAAAAAGGAATCGAAATCCCCATATTCGGCTTCGTGGGATGATTTTTCGAGTGATTCTCTGTCTCCGCCTGCAAAAACCGGTTGCTTTTGGTGTTCTCCGAAGAAGGCTTCGAGGAAAAACACCAAAGAAAACAGGGGTCTGGATATAGACCTTGATTGGGGGAAGAATGATGAGTTTTTATCTGATTTGAGCAATTTTTCTACGAAAAGTCAAAAAAAGATGATGATGAAGGCTACGAAGGAGGAGGAAGAGATCTGTAGAGAGGCAGAGAAGATTGTCAAGTGGGCAAAGCAAGCTTCAGCAAGGATGGATGTTTCTGGCATTGAAGATGAGCTAAGTGATAATGAGAATTTTAAATGATCATTTACAGTTTATGTTCATTACATATACATATATAAGAAGATACATTTTCTTCTTTTTTTCCCTTTTTTTTCTGATCCTATATTATGGTTTTCTGTTCTGCTTCTGGGTTTCATTATTATAAAGATACAAATTGTATACGTTTGGGTTGCTACATATTATATAGAGGAAAAAATTTATATACTGCACCATTTTATGGTATACTTCAAGTAAATTGATGGTTTGGAGATGACGAGTAATGAATTTTTTATTTCTTAGATGTTCTTGGATATCATCTTTTTGCACTTTGCTACAAATGTTTTGGAAATATTTTTCTGTTTGGTTTATGGTTTCTATATTTGCAATTTAATTCTTGAATTTTTAGCAGCTATGGTTACGGGGTCTGCTTAAATATAGGTTGGAATCATATGTATTAAGGGCGAAAAGAGTTTTCTTTTATCATTATTGCCAGATTATGTATTATGTCTTTTAGACATAATGATGGAGTGAAACTTGAAGAATAAAATGTGGGGATCCTGAAATTCTTTAGTCTCAGAAGGACATGGACTGATGTTGGATTTTCCTTGGCAAGATTTTTGGATTTTGAGTGTGGACACAGGGGACTTGGATCAATTTGATGTAATGTTCATCAGATGTATCTTCTTGTGGTCTAGACTGGACTGAAATGGAGAGATATTGAGTAAATTGAAAGAAAGTAGAAGAAAAGACTGAATGTCGGCATGTAATTTGACATTGTAGGATCGAAGGAATTTGTTTAATTATATAAGACCTCCTCCCAAATATCTCATGAAGTCTCCTAATTCAACTTCCTAATTATGAATGATAACTTTACGCATAAAGATGGAGGTAAACTTGCTAATTAAATTGTTAGAACCTGAAATGCTTAAGTTCTCGAAGGACATGGGCTCATGTTGGTTTGCCGTGGCTAGCTTTTGGGATTTGGAAGGAGTGTGGATGCTGGGGATGTGATCATTTTCTGATGTAATGTGCTTTATGTGATGTATCGTCTTTGGGCATTGTGAGCAAATAGAGAGAACAAGAGTAAATCAACTGAGTTGATGAAAATGAAATTAGTGGGATGCTCAGAATTCTAAAAAATTACTACCGATGTTATGTCAGAGCTTATTGATTACTTTTATTGACGATTCTTGTCATGATTATACAACTTCTTTTCGTAGCTATTAGCAGAATTATTTTCTTTCCTCCGTCCTTCTTGAAGGGTTTTCTTTATCCTTGTAAAATTAGATACGGAAAACTTGTATATATTTGCATTACCTATCTGATTACTAAAATTTGGTTCCAAATTATCACGTCTTATGATGGAACAAATGTATTGCTTTTATTGAGTTATGAGATAGCTACTTCTGGTCTTCGCTCATGCTTGCCAAAAATGTCAATGACGTTCCAAAAATTTTCAGAAAAGCACGAAGCAAGAAATGTGGGCTAAAGTCAGAGCAAAAGGGCTGCAAAATACTTGTAGGTATTGCTAATGATAAGTAACTTGTAAGTATGCTACCAGGTTTTCTTCTGATGGAGAAGTTTCGGTAAATCAGTTATATTTCATCCATTGCATTTGTCACTCTTTTTCCCTTTTTTTTCCTACATAACATTTATTATTGAAGTTCATTAACATTATTTGGTATTGGTATTAGCTTGAATCCTAGAAGATTATTATTAAATGCATACTTTCCATGTTTAGATCCTTAATTTAGGAAACGTAAAAAGGATTTATTTACTACATTTCCTAGGATTTTATTATGTTTATTTACTAGGTTCTCTATTATTTGGTTACACATTTCCTCCTTATTTTGTAGCATACGATCCTTTTGATGATCTATTTCCACTCATCGCAGTTTGTACTTTGTTTTTATGAGTATTCAGTACAGTCCTCGACGTTGGACTACTTCGGCACTTCTATCCATACCTTTTTTCTTAGACATTTAAAGCATAATCTTCAGAACTGTGTGCATTTTAGGTCATTTTGAAATGGTTGTTTAATGCATTCTTAATATATTATAGTACATCTACTTAGTATTAATAAGTTTTGTAGCCAAAATAAACTACTCCCTCACTCATTAAAGTAGAATAGTATGATCTTCCAGTGTATTCAACTTTATTCACCCACCATTCGACTAGATGTAGGTTATATTTATAGATTATATTTCCCTCATGCACAAAGTTTAGAGTAAATTAGGTTGGGCTCCCTAACCTCTCACTTACTATGGTTATGGTTCGCTAACTCTTAAAAATGAGGTCTTGGACCTCCAACCTATTTGAATACGTGAATTTAGACTTCACGTGATAGAAATTGTCAAATGAGACACTAAATTACAAGTAACTTTAAGTTGAATTGGAGATAAATGTAAAGTAGTTTGGCAATTTCGCCCTCTAATCGTGACTCATATGAAAGTTGCATGCAATTTAAAGTCAACATTGATGGTATCAGTCACTTGGAGCCACAAATTTACCAATTTAAATAAGTTGA